TTTGCATGAATGGCAAATGCAGCGAGTGTGTGATTCATTCAGGATCCTGTGAAAGCATTTAAAGCAACACGGCACTTATGGCGAGAAAGTCGAGTGCGTAGAGGAAGGAGGCGTGGGACTGGGACCCTTATCTTTTGACTCACTTTCCAATTATCATATTAAATCAGTTGTAAGTCATTGCATGTGTATATATTTGCACAACTTATGCGATGGCGAAGGACATTCTCCGTCAGCAGCGACTCGGGTAATCCTTTCAGCCAAAAAGGATACACAAAAACAAAAACAGCCACAGTCACATCAGCAGCGAGCCAAGTGGAAAACGGGCAAAAGCAAAATCCAGTTGACATTCCGCTGAAATGCAGTTAATGGGAATTCGCTTGGCCGTCGCCTGAAGATAACGATTGCTAATGGGGCACACAGGGGGTATCAGACATGTCCTGTGGTTACTCGTATCTCACCTAAGGATAATGAGCTCAGGGGCGCGAGTTAACATAATAAAACACATTTAAAAAAACTCTTGTGTGGCTTACAAAGCGCAAAACACATTTAAGCCAAGCGTAAGTCAATTGTTTACCAAATGGTTTACAAAGGACTCAAGTAGTAGAGAAGAAAATATGGAAAGAGTACTTAAAAGTAATTAAGGATTATTATAGAGAGAAATGGTTAACTTATTAAAAGTAAATAAAATCATATTACCCTTTTGGGAACTATAAATTCTTTAATGTATAGAAATATCTGAAGATAAACTCTATTAGATTAAAATTTATTTATCATATTTCATTGTTTTTCTTTAAATTCTTGATCCCTGCAACATATTCCCTACATATTTTATCCATAATCCATCGGAAGTATTACAATTAAATGTCCTGTCGACGCTCTTAGCTAACAAGTGAATTCGCAAAGCGTATGCTCTGCATATAATCAGCTTAAAATATCAGCGAGAAACAATATCAATCAAAATGAAATCAAATACGGCTCCTCCACTCCCATGCATCTTATGGCGAATCCTCCTGCCATTCCTTACCCGCAGTTATGTTCCGATTTAACTTGCTACGTGCAACGCCAATTTGATTGCTCACACGAGCTCTCTATATATATATGTGTGTGTGTGCGAGGCAAAGGTAAAGGCAAAGGCGATGGCGGAGAAAGAATAATAAAGGCCCAGGTGATAGCAGGTGTGAGAGGTGAGGCGGCAGTCATTCACTCAGTCATTCAGTCAGTCAGTTCGCCAGGCCAAGCCGAGTCAAGCAGTCGAGCGCGAAATAAGCTTTGTCTGATGGACTGAGGTAAGTGAACGGTGGAGCAGAGCCAACGGCTCCGCCCAGGTGGAGATGATGCCACATGACAACATGCGGAGGAGCCAGCCAGCGGTAGCAACACCAGCCAGCAACAACAGCCACAGATTGATGACTCAAGATGCAGGCGAAAAAGGCCCAAAAGTCAAAGTTAAATTAATACCAAAGGAGAGAGCAGCTTAATTTAAAGTTAAAATTATATAAAACATATATTTGATGATTAAAATATAATTCTGGTAACTTTCTAGCATTGATGCTGTTGCTGTATTTATTTATATAAATTCCCAGAACCAATCTTATAAGTTGCATTGTGCACTCAATTACTTATATAAAATATATTGCAACATCTTTATTATCCATAAAAATTTCCTCAGTGTACAACCAGGTAACAGTTGGGTTGTGTATCCACCCGTTTTCCCTCTTTTTTGGCTCATGGGAGCTACATTTCTCAACGCAACTTGCGTATCGTGAAAATCCATTTCGGCTGTTAATGTGACATTTAGTCATTAAAATTTCAAGGGGCGCACGACGACTCAGACAAAGCATAATATTGTTATTATTATTCGCTTGTGTTTGGCTAAAATGCCAGCGAGTTTTGACTGTGCGGGTGTAACAGCTGCCAGCAGCTGCTGTAAGACAACTGAGATGCCACTTCCCCGTACAACGCGGCGTATGCGTAATGTGCTCTTTGCTGCTGCTGCGCTTCATTTAAATTAAATTTGCCCTGGGTCATGCGAGTGCTGTATTTCGTATGCCAAATTGTATACAGAGAAATAAAATCAGGGATTGATATTGTTTATTTAGGTACAATTAGTTTTGAATCTAATATCAACAGTTGAAGTCAGAAAACAATGTTTAAAACTCACTAAATAGGTAATTTGTGGTAAGAAATAAAAACATATCAATGATATATTATCGTTAATATTATTTAATCATATAATTTAATGAATTATGAAACTTAGTAAGAGATTAGTACAAATACTAGTATTTGTTTACTTTATACCCTTATAACTCTCTAATTAATCATTTATTTATTATCCAAGTTTGTATTCTGACAGTGTCACGAGTGTTTAGAAAATATAGGGGAACGGGGAAATGAAAATTACAGGGGTGAGCGTAGGAAACTCTTCAGTGCTTTTACAGAATCAAGAGCAGAGCAAATTGGCAAATAAATTTTTACCCAGCATAAAAAAAAAGGTATATATAAAATAAAAAGTTGACTCCGAGTTAGAGAGAAGTTTCGCTGGAGGGAAAGCAGCGCAGAAAAAGAAGACATCAACTTTCGTGTGTGTAATTAAATTTACTTGTTGCTGGAAGCCAAGCTCCTTTCTCTGTACCTTCTGCATCACACTTCCTCCCAAGTCAACCGTCAAACTAAAGCAATCGGAAGAAGCCGGAAGGAGAAGTGACACTAATTAAATGCCCATGGATGCGGATGTTTATTTGCTCGGAAAGGGAAAAACAGCATGCGGGGGAAGCACAAGAATATTGCCATTTGAGTTGCCTTTAAATGATGGAAAATATATGGAGCCATGCTTCGCCCAACCATCTCTTTAGCCCAATATGCAAATTTGGGCCCAAAAACATTCAAAGCCAAGGAAGTGTCACATGGTTTGGCCTCTGACGTTTCTACACACAATTAAGTTGATTTGTTGCCTGTTGCGGTCAAAGCTAACGAAGGCGGCTCCGGCTCTCACAGGCTCTACTTAATGGAAGGATGCGTCTATAGGAAATGCATTTTCATCCCCATACTCATCAACCCCCCTCCTCGGGTTCTCCTCTCTTCAGTGTATGTGTGAGTCTGTGATTGCAAATTTCAGTCTGTATTTGTGAGTGGGGGGAAAGGATGTGGGGGTTCCTTGATGGATGACCGCCGTGAAGAATTGGGAAATTGCAAGCGTAAGAAGATTTGTTAGCCTAAATGGAATCTACAATTAAATTCTACTGCAATTTAGGCTAACTATAGTTATGTTAATAAAAAGAAAGATACTTCTAAAAAACATGGGGATCTTCAATATCTCTCAAAAAGCCAGGCCAATTTGAGTGCATATTTAAAGATTTTAATGAAATAAAGTATTTAATTTTCAAGAGTATAAATATAGAGATAAATGGTATTACAAATTTAGTCAGAAACTTAAAACACAATGAACAAGTCATTTCCGACCCTATAAACCATATATATTCTTGATCAGCACAAAAAATTGCGTCGATCTAGATAACTGCGGACGAAAATTTTTTTTTTAATTTGGACAAAATTGAAAAAAAAAAAACGTTAAACGTTAAAATTTCCAAAAAATTGACAATTTTAAAGTATTTAACTAAGTATGCAGATTTGTTGACCTTTAAAAACACACACAGAGCAGCTTTCCGAATTCAATTTAATGCATTTTGGTTGAGTTATGTTTTTTGAAATACGATTTGTCGACAAATTTTCATTTTTTTCAATATAATAAGAATCCATTAAAATTATATTGGGTTGTGGTTAGAAATTAACTAGAAAATAATGCTGCATTAGAAAATACTATCATTAAATAAATAATGAATAAAAGAATAATACATTAAATACGGAAGAGATGACAAATTTCTAATCGACACAAGAGTAATATTATTTGACTTCGTAATGTCTGTTCCATCTATTTTTTATACCAAAACAGGGATTCTCATTTCAGTCAGAAGCTTAAAACGTATCGAAGGAGTCATTTCCGACCCTATAAACTATATATATTCTTGATCAGCACAAAAACTGCGTCGATCTAGATAACTCCGGACGAAAAAAAATTGTGTTAAATTTGGTCAAAATTTGCCGAAATTTAAAAAAGATAAGGGTTTAAAATTGGCAAAAAATTGAAAATTGTTACATGATTAACTAAGTATGCAGATTTATTGACCTTGTAAAAACTAGCACAGAACAGCTTCCGAATTAAATTTAATGCATTTTTGGCTGAGCTATGAGTTTTTTAAAATTTGATTTGTCGTCAAGTTTGTCATTTTTTTAATATTAATAAGAATCCATTAAAATTATGTTGGTTTTGGTTCGAATTGACTACAAAATAATTCTGCATTGCAAAGAACTGTAATTTCATAAAATAATGAATAAATGAATAATACAATAAATACGGAAGAGATGACAAATTTCTAATCGACACAAGAGTAATATTATTTGACTTCGTAATGTCTGTTCCCATCTATTTTTTATACCAAAAACAGGGATTCTCATTTCAGTCAGAAGCTTAAAACGTATCGAAGGAGTCATTTCCGACCCTATAAACTATATAAATTCTTGATCAGCACAAAAAACTGCGTCGATCTAGATAACTCCGGACGAAAAAAAATTGTGTTAAAATTTGGTCAAAATTTTGCCAAAATTTAAAAAAAGATAAGGGTTTAAAATTGGCAAAAAATGAAAATTGTTACATGATTAACTAAGTATGCAGATTTATTGACCTTGTAAAAACTAGCACAGAACAGCTTTCCGAATTGAATTTAATGCATTTTTGGTTGAGTTATGAGTTTTTAAAAATATGATTTGTGAAAAAATTTTTAATTTTTTTAAATATTAATAAAATCATCCATTAAATGTATACCGGACCTATGTAGCTTTCTTTCTGACTCAAATACAATACAATACCCATTTAAAATGAGCAAATATAAAATATAACTGTGTTAAATTATGTTCAAAGTTAAATGGAATAAAAAACGCTTTCAAAAGTCACTTCAGTTTCAGTTTATACAATTTTTTTTACACAAATTATTTTGCCTATTTTGTTGATCCCTCAACCCCGAGCTGGTCACCTTCACCGATCTTGGATCCTGCAGAGTGATCCGGCAGCGGAACCATATCCCGATTATGGAAGACCCGGACAGAACGGCGATGAGCCCGCATAACCTGCACTCGTTCTTTGTGGGAGCTCGGTAAGGACCCAATCCGATGAACTGATTACCGCGAGCGGCCACAGGATCGTATCCATGCCGGACAAGCTTTTTATAGTTCCTTTCGTAGAGTCGCCTAAACCAGCAACCAAATTCCAGATTATCACAGAGGCGCCTCTTAACAAGATCGGCCATTGGTATTTGTGTTGCCACCTGAACCTGGTCAAAGGCATTCTGTACGAGTCGAAAGTTATACAAGAACTCGTACTCCTGATTAGCTTGCATTTCACTTTCGGCATATCTATGATACCCGGAAATAACTTCTCCATGAGGCAGCAATAAATGGCACCGGTGCCGAGATCTTCAATTTTATAGAGATGCGTGTTTAACTCGGAGGTAATCCAGGCCAGGATCTGAAAGCGTGACCACTGACCCTGGTGGTGCTTCGTAAAACACACGTTATCCACGTGGACGGAATTGTAAGTTTTTGACATCTAAAATGGGGGGAAAATTAGGGTAATACTTCCACTTACTTAGTTTTAATTAAAACAAGACAACAAACCGTAAGATCCTGTTTTACTTTTAAAAGTTACCACGTATCAGTTATCTAAAACTTAAATCATTAAAAATCCAAAAGAAATTTATAAAATAAAATTGAAGTTTTTAAAATCTAGATAGATGAGAGAGGTGCTCATTTGCCACAAATTGAATTTCGACTAAGAATTGAAAGAGTCCCAGTTAACACCTGGCCAGCTTGATTTAAACAAATTCTAAATTAATAGTAAACAAGTATCTCTTCAACCAAAAGAGGTCTTTAAACATCATCATCAAGGGAAATATATAAAGCAAATACCTCTAAACTTTCTCTTTCTCTCAAAGCTCAAAAGAACTCTCTGAGCCAAAAGCCATTAGATTTCGAGCCATTAAACGTGTTTATATATTTGCAATCACATCATCACAAAGCAAAGCAAGCGCGACAAAAACTTATGGCAATCATATAATAAAAGAAAAATATCCAGAAGAGAAAAGGCAGCAGCAGCAGCAGCAGGAAAATGAGGGAAATGCAGAAATGGAAACTTTTTCTTTCTTTTTCCAGCCATGTGTCCCAACTTCATTCGGGAGCTCCTTTTCCTCGTCGTACGTGTCTGCAGTGGCAAAACAAACAAAAAAAAAACTGCACCGAGTGAGATGTTTTTCGGGGCAAAGGAAGACAACTTTAAAGTGCAGCAAATTGCATTTGAAATTCGCAGTAATATTTTCCCATCCCTGACAAAAAACAAAAAAATAAATATATGAAAAGAAAACAAGCAGCGAAAACAATTTGAAGTACGCATTGAGAGAGGGCACGGGAAAAGAGCAGTGAAGACAATTTTGTGGAAACAATGAAATGGAAACTTAACTCATGAAATATTCAAAGTAAGATTTGCCGTTACTTTCGTTCTGCTGTGGTTAAATTTTCAAACAAGAAAACACACAACTTGAAAAATGTTTCGCTAAACGAACACCGAACGGGTAATGCTGTTCAAGTTATTCAAATATTTTAATAGATATTCATAGATAGAACCTTGAAATATAGAACCTTGGAAATATATATAAATATTTTCATATTCAAAACCACATATTAAATGTTTACAACTTTTACTTAATAGCCACCTAATACCTATCACATAAAACCCTATTTCGGAGTTCTTACTTGATTTCAATGGAAATTCTTATAGATTAATATTTTTACTACAAAATATATATATCTTCCAATAATGAAAAGAGTATCCCAAACATTTATATATACTCTGTTCGAACCACAAAAGCAACCAGAACGATGAGAAGCAAATTGTTTGCTTAATGCGAAGCTGTTGCTCGTTTAAGTTTTTCCTTGTTTAGTTGGGTTAAGACCTGTAAGGGATAGTTGAGGAGAACGTAGGAACCCGGGGGGAAATTGAAATGAAACTTCTGATAAATTGTACCTGGCAGAAAGCAATGAAAGCTAAATTTGTTGATTGTGTGAAATGCTGAAGTCATATGAAAAGTTTACTCGTGTATTTCGGGGGCCTTTCATTTTAGATTTGCCAAAAATTTGTTGAGGGTTTTCTTTCTTACAAGCAAATATATAGTAGAATTGGAAAATAAATACAAGTGTTTTTTAAGTGATTGGTTTGTGTATTTTGTTAATTACTTTGCATTTCGAAAGAGTACTAATAAGTAGAGTGAAATATCGTTTTACCATCACAAACGTTCTGACTTTCAGATCGAATTCAAGATCAAGATTCTTTTATGGATAATAAATATTCTACAAGAAAAACTTCATTAATTATTAGTACAATATGCTTATTATGCTTATTCAGTATAAATAACCAATTAAAGAAATAATACAATACATGAATCAACCCACAACTATAAACCTTAGATATTCCTCCCTCATTACCTTACATTACAATGAATTATAACTCAACTCAATTCAATTCCTTTTCGATTGAATCATTTGGGATTAATCAATTAATAGAATAGTATTTTATTTACTCTGCTTTTATCACCTGGCTATAACTGCAAAATCCCCCATCAAATCAGCTATTCTGGAGCAATTAAAGGGCCATGAAAATCGTACACAAAGTACACGAATAGAATTCTTCTACTAATCCTGGCTATTTGAGCTTTGATTGAATACCGCCAAGGACAATGACAATTCCGTTGATGATGATGAAGCTACGACTGATGCTTGATGGCGATGGCATAACAATAAACATCAAGGAAAGAGTGTAAAAACAAGCGTTTTCATTCCCAAACTCAACTACTACAGTGGGAGAAATTGGGGAGTTATAAAATGAAAAGCTTTCTAGAATGGAAATATTTTTATACAACATTTTTGAATTTTTGTTAAAACTTTTTAAGAAAATATGTTTGTATAATTATTAACTATTCATTTAAAAGTCTCCTATTTTCTTCTCAGTGCCCACTCACACACACCCGCTAGAGACTAAGTATTTTATGGCCGACACTAAAGTCCAAGCATCAAACCGAAACTTTGTCACATACACACAGCCCACAGGGGCTGCAGAAAGTATGGGAAAAAAAGGGAAAGCAAGCGCAATTACGAGAACGAGACGACAGTTTCGCAATGGAAATGGAAAATCGGCATAAGAAAAGCCAGAAATTATATGCCACTGAGCGCAGTCTGTCTGTCTGTGACGATGACGGCTCCCGCAAGGCTATTAAAACTTATGCGTAGCTCATATAACACTTTTAATGCCAATCAAAGTCTCAACTCAAACCCCAAATAGGCAACGAAACAGAATGCGAAAAACGAGAAATATATACCAAAAAGATTCCAGAGCAAATAGCAACTGAAACTTTCACCTTTTGTTTCCAAAAAAAACAGAAACACTTTTACTTATAAATATAGAAAGCAACAAAAGCAAGTCGGAAAGTCAAACAAAAGTTCATTGAAAATGAGGAAAACAAAAACCTCCAACCGAAAAAAAATAAATAAAGAAAAATAAAGAAAAAACTGTGAGAAAGAATCAAGTGTAATAGAAAGTAAAAGAAAAGCAATAAAGCCAAGGAAACGGTGCAAAGCGAAAAGAAATTGTCACAAATACAAATAGGAAATTGACGCGGAAAAACAATAAGTAGAAGAAACAATATAAAGAAAAAATATATATGAGAGAAAGAGGCAAGTTTTCCACCCAAAACAACCGAAGAAGAAAAGAATTCCCAAGAATCTCAGCCTCCAAGGGGGGCGTGGCACATCATGTTTACCAGTTTTCAGACTCGATACTCGTAAAACAAGGGTATATATTATATAAACTTTGTGGGAAAAAGACTAACTGCACGGGAAAGTATGCTACATTTTTCTTAGGAAAAATAAGCCAGAAACTTCTTTTAAATTTTAAGTGATTTAATATTTAAAAGGCATAGGATTAATTGATTAATTAATTATTTAAATACTTATTTGAACCCTTTTTATTTTAAAGCACATTCATAATCAGCATTCCTTAGTCGAGCCACTCCTCTAAATCCTTTCTTCTTGTTTTTTATTATTTTATTTTTGGGCTTTGCTCGTGTAACGAATTTAATCTTTTACGTTAACGCGTCCTGCAGGGAAATAGGGGGGCTTTCCATGGGGGTGCGTAGGAAATCTGTTAGACGGAGGACCCATTGTTGGGCTTTATTTATAGACCTCAAATGGCCTCAGCCCGAGGATGTGGCATTTGTTTGTAATGACATGTATGTATGTTGAAGGAAGCGTGAGGGATGCGAGGGATGGCTAAGTAAACAAAAGAGTTGTACTATACTATACGTAACCCGAGAAATGAGGTGGGTCTCCATAAAAGACCTGATAAAAGCGGCTTAAAAAAGCTTTTAACGCAGCCAAATAAAAGAAAAGCCAGAGATGAGAAATGACTGGGCTTTACAATAGGGTTAAGAGAAGGGTAAGTAGGATCGGGTTAAGGGTTAAGTCAGTCCTTAGTCGTTAAGTTAATGAAATTTGAAAGGTATATAGATTGATGGCTATCTAATTGAGGTGTAAATTGCGAAAAATAAGTGGCTTAAATATACAAAAGAAACTGGAACACGATAAGTTATTAAAAAATACAACAAATAATGTAGTTATATGTATTTTTCTTTACTTAATATACTTTTCTTATACATACCATCGATTAATTTACAAAGATCCCCGTTTTTTCTACATACATTCATTGAAACACTCAAATGAAATTCATTATATATGTATTTAAAAACCCCAATTTACTACGTTATTAAAAGATGTCTAAACTTTTTCCCATCATTAAAGTGTCAATAATCTTGATATTTTATCTCCATAAATAATTCTTGGGAATTTCACTTTCTATTACAACAATCCCTAGCACTTTTTTGTTATTTTTCGGTTGACTGGAGGAATAAAAACAATGCTTGATTTCGCCTGCGGGAATTCCCAGTTCCAATTAAATCCCAAAATTCCCTTGAAATTATTTCGCAACCTCAAATATTGTCACAATGCCAAGGAATGCCGCCGCTCCCTTTTCCCTCGATGTCCAAACAACAAGGAGCACACCTTGTACTTCACCTTGACCCCGAGAGTGTGTCTTGGCATTTGAAGTGTTACTTTTATTGTATTTCAGAGGTGACAAGTGTCGGATGGGCGGGGTAATGCGAGACACAATGTCAAGTGGCCAGAGGGGAGAACAGAAAAAAGCTGCTCAAAAAGGAGCAAAGAGAAAAATATCGGAGAAACAAGGATATCAGCCAGAAAAAAGGAGACATTACAAGCATGTGGCACTGGACAAACATTAAGCACGAACACGCCCCGACACGACACGAAAGGGGATGGCATCGAAGGACCCTTAAAAGAGGATCCCGGGAAATTAATAATAACGCTGCTGTAAGGTGCCTCACAAGTATGCAAAATCGCCGGCCAAACGCCGAACCGAACGGAATGCATATTGATAAATTCCAGCACAAAAGGAGCGAAACGAAGCCCCTGGATACTCGTACAATGCAAAGTATGAAGACTGTGCTTCAAGCAACAGTGATGCTAAATACCTAAGAATACAGTTTAAAAATTAAATGAATAATGAAACGGGTTATTTCATTGGAATTGAAAACCTTTACATGAAAAAGGGTTAGTTGTATGATGTGATATTCTTAAAACCCATTCAGCAATTGATGTAATACAACTCTAAAACATTATCATAATATTTCTCTTAAGATTTCTCTAATCCTTAGTATCCTTATACTTTTCCAGC